AATATTTTGCAGTAGCCTAGTGCAAATAGGAGCATTTAGATTATTAATTTGATTAGTAAAATAACATGTTACTGTTTCATTTCAGAACGGATTGATGAAGAAACTGTTGATGACCTTCCAGCACTAACAGACATCTTCAAAGCATCTCCTACACCATCTCCATCTCCAGGTCCTTCTAACCCTTCATCTGCTGTACCTTCTCGCATACCTACACCAGATCCAAGACCACTGCCTCCTGTAGTTTCTCCTTTCATTTCGCAACAGAGAGAGAGCAGAAAAAGAAAACAGCACAGAGAGGAAAGAGTGCTATGCTAACATCAATAGCAGTCACCGTCAGGAGAAACTCCATTAAGCACAGCTGAGCCTCACAGAAGAAACTCAGCACCAACTTAGAGAAACATGTAGTGCTGTTAGAGCTGCTGCCCAAGAAGCACAACATACCTTTGTCTCTATTGCAAATAACTCCAAGCGTGTGGCTGATGAAGATGTATCATTTCTGAAGGAAGCAAGAACCCCGATGAAAGACAATTTTGAAGAAAAGGAGTATATTGTAATGATAACGAAGAGTCACTTTTGACTTATACCCTTCCAGGAATATAATCTTCATTTTCTTCTGGTATATACCAATAAATAATGTAATAATCAAGTGTTATTTTTATGATAAACCATTTTCATTTAGAGCATATTTATAACCTTTATAAAAATGTATATCCTTCTAGTATGTAGTGAAATAGACCTGCAGTCAAGGTGAAACGATATATTTGCTTTAATTCAACTCTTTTTTTTCTTTTTTTTTTTAATTAAACCAACTATCTAAAAATAACATGATGCTAGTAAATATAAAGGTAAAATATCAATAATCAATAGTGGACTAAATTATTTTATGACAATGATAATTTTCAAAATTAATAATCAAACAAACAAACAAAATTATAACATACATTTTTGTTATTATTATTTATTATTATTATTTATTATATATATATATATATATATATATATATATATATATATATATATATGACACTGGAAACTTCAAAATAATTGAATATTTTTCTCTGTTTTTCATATTATTGGATGTTGGCAATTAATGTACCATATTACAGACAGGTAAACAAAGAAAGGGAAATAAATAAATATGAAAGTGCATTACAAGAGTTAATCTAAAACCATCTTTATATTACAGTGTCCCTTACATAAAAGGCACCATTTGCAATATTTGTAAGAATCTCTTGAGCATCCGCAAGTGGCTCACCAGTCTCTCCCATTTCTGGTGGGTCTATATGATGGAGCATTGTTATGTTGTGTAGACCTACATCGACCATTATGATTTTCTTCGTAGTTTCCAGCTTTGTACGAACAGGCTGGGTGAGGCAAGCAAAGCGCCTTTTCAGAATTCCAAAGGCGCGTTCAATCACATTTCTGGTCTTTGTGTGGGCTGTGTCGTAGCGCCTCTCCTTGTCAGTTGTAGGTCCCTGGACAGGTATGAATAGGTAACTACGACAAGGGTACCCACTGTCTCCAAGTATCCAGGATGATTTCCCTGCTTAAGGATATGGCACACCTGAGAGTTTTTAAAAGTTCTGCTATCATGCACCCTGCCTGGCCAACTAGCAATGATGTTCATGAATTTCAAACCTGCATCACATATACCCTGCGTATTAATGGAAAAGTATCCTTTCCGGCAACAGTAGAGTTCTGCATCATTTCCTCCTGGTCCTCTGACGGGGAAATGAGATCCATCTAAACAGCCAATAACTTCAGGCATCCCTGCCATCGTATGGAACTTCAGGATATTTGCAGTCACATCTCTTGCATTTGGGAACTTGAGGTATTCTGAGGCTAAGGACGCAATACCTGTGGCAGTCAGACCAACAAACTTGCACACAGACGTTCTTGACATCTGTGACCAATCTACCATGCTCAGTTCAAAGCTTCCAGTTGGCAGATAACGCAAGCATACCAGGAGTTTAAGCTAAGGTGGAACACTTAAACCTATTGGAACAAAATTGAAATTATGTGTAATGTAAGTTTCTCCTCTCTTTCTCTCTCTCTCTCTCTCTGTAAACATATTTGTATGTATGTATGTATGTATTTATATATATATATATATATATATATATATATATATATATATATATATATATATATATATATATATATATATATAATGTATACCGTGAGTGTAAGTGTATGCGTACATATGTACACATATTTGTCCATGTATATATATTACATGTAAATCATACATATTGCATATTCAACTGTAATACATATATATATATATATATATATATATATATATATATATATATATATATATATATATATATATATACAAAACTTACACTATATATATCACTTTTCAATTAGAATGAGTAATGCCAACCTCCCCTTTCTTCCTCGTGGCAACCGCTGATCAATCTTGTCTAGAAAACATTTTGTGCAGGATTTGGTCAACCTGCAGCGTTTAATAAACTCCTCATCCTAGAGCTACTAA